GCCTCAGGTCCCGCTGGAAACTGGGCAAAAATCCTCGGCCCTCCCGTCATTTCAGGTAGACCTTGTTTTTTTGTTGGAGGGAATGCTGATTTTGGTTCCATTTTCTGGGGAACTTGAAATAAACAAACGTTGATTTCCTCATGGAAAACGTCTGTGGTACAGGTCTGTGGATCACTCAGCAGGGCCTTCTCCCGCCATTGGAACTCACCAGGCTTAGGGTCACTTTGCAGCCCGGGCTGATGGCCTCGGTGGGAACGCCCACTTCCTGGAGCCCCGTCTTACTCGATGGTGAACGCACATGTGCCGCCCACAATCCCAGACAGCCCGGAACGCATGGAGATGGAGGGTGTCCCCTGGCTGTGTGCCACAGGCTGCCACCCTCTGCCCCGGGGAGGCGTACGGACGCAGGGGCAGGGCAGTGAGACCCGCGAGAACCTGCCCTGGGACTTTCGCAGGGACTCTTGGTAAAGACGCGCTCTCCTCACCCCGGGGCTGTCCAGCTGCTGAGGAACAAGCTTTCGGCCTCCAAGGCCACAGAGGCTGTAGCAGAGAGGATCTCTCGGAGGAGAAAGGAGGGTGGGGATGAAAACCGGCAGGGAGACTCTGGAAACACATCTCAGCCAGGGGCGCTGCCACACCTGGCACTGCCAGCCCCGCCTACACTTCCCAGTTATGGTCCCCTTGCTCTGGGAGCCCCTGGGATGGGCTCTGCATCCTGTTGACTAACAAGGCATCTCACTCTGTACCCCAATCACAAAAGGGCCTGCCGTGGCACCTGCCACACCCTCTGAACCCAGTAGAGCAGGTCAGCAGTGCCCCAGGGGATTTCATGAAGTCAGGGGGGCTGGGAAAGAGTGTGGGGTGCACACAGGACCCTTGTGGATCCCGGGGGAGCTGGGGAAGAATGTGGGGTACATGAAGGATCCTTGTGGATTCCAGGGGCCTGGGGAAGAGTAATGGGGTACACACAGAACCCTTGTGGATTCTAGGGGGCTGGGGAAGAGTGTGAGATGCACACAGGACTCTTGTGGATCCCAGGGGTCTGGAGAGGAGTGTGGGGGGCACACAGGACCCTCATGGATCCCAGGCCTGTACTGGCGAGCTCATGTCCCCAGACGAACTCCCCAAGCCTTCCAAGTTCCTCTGGAGCTGAGTCAATATTTAACCCATCTTTCCATTTGTTTTCCATTAGAACGCGCATCTGAAACCCTTCATTAGCCCGTCCTTCCAGAGAATAATGACTAATTTCTGGCGGTAGTTTTTCCTTATCCCACAAAGGCACTGTGTAGAACCCTTCTATTATTGTAATTTACTGATGGAAGAGAAGAAATTGTAGAGATGATTTCCAAGTCCTGGAAAGACCGCCACTGAGAGAAGCAAGCCATGCTTTGTGTGGCCTCCATCTCTCCCCGCCCTTGCCCAGGGTGACCGAGGTGGACTCGACAGTGTCGCCTCCAGCTCCGTCCTGGCCTTGCACAAAGACAGCTTATTCTGGGACCAGAAACAGACTCCCGATCCCCCAGGGGCTCTGAGAGTCCGTGGACATTTCACTCAACACAGTCCTGGAAAAGCTCAGGAGTGGTGGGAAGAAGGGCTGACATGGACTTCTGAGGCCATGGCTCCACAATTTACTCCGTTATCTTAATGAGCAAAGCCAGTTGTGCTTTTGGGAAGACTTTCGCTATTGATTTTTCAAAAAGTAAGACATGGGAGGTTTGATTTGTGATAGAAAGGCCAGGAAAATCCAGGTGCCTTTAAATAGCATCCTGGGTCTCCAGGAGAGAGGCCAGTGGTGTCTGTGTGACGAGCGTGCCTGGCCTGCTGCCCACTCCCCCACATCTGCACCCTCACGAGGGGCTCCCATGTCGTCATCCATTTTCTTTGGCTGCCTGGAGCTAATCTGCTCACCCGCTGCCTGCCCCTCAAGGGATGGCTGAGGACCAGCTGCCCATGGTTCCAGTGAGATAATGTCACATTCATTCCCTTTGGTGACACCGGACACACCCGTGTCTCATAATCCTGAAAGACAACCAATCAAGCATGCAATTCACCCTGTTCACACTGCAGCCCTGGGGGGTACTAAGTACGCAATTCACCCTGTTCACATCGCAGCCCTGGGGGGGACTAAGCGTGCAATTCACCCTGTTCACACTGCAGCCCTGGGGCGGACCGAGCAAGCAATTCACCCTGTTCACACCGCAGCCCTGGGGGGGACCGAGCGCGCAATTCACCCTGTTCACACCGCAGCCCTGGGGGGGACCGAGCGCGCAATTCACCCTGTTCACACCGCAGCCTGGGGGGGACGGCGCATTCACCCTGTTCACACCGCAGCCCTGGGGGGGACCGAGCGCGCAATTCACCCTGTTCACACCGCAGCCCTGGGGCGGACCGAGCGCGCAATTCACCCTGTTCACACCGCAGCCCTGGGGGGGACCGAGCGCGCAATTCACCCTGTTCACACCGCAGCCCTGGGGGGGACCGAGCGCGCAATTCACCCTGTTCACACCGCAGCCCTGGGGCGGACCGAGCGCGCAATTCACCCTGTTCACACCGCAGCCCTGGGGCGGACCGAGCGCGCAATTCACCCTGTCACCCGCCCCCGACCCCCATTCACCCTGTTCACACCGCAGCCCTGGGGCGGACCGAGCGCGCAATTCACCCTGTTCACACCGCAGCCCTGGGGCGGACCGAGCGCGCAATTCACCCTGTTCACACCGCAGCCCTGGGGCGGACCGAGCGCGCAATTCACCCTGTTCACACCGCAGCCCTGGGGCGGACCGAGCGCGCCGGCAACGAGCCGCAATTCACCCTGTTCACACCGCAGCCCTGGGGCGGACCGAGCGCGCAATTCACCCTGTTCACACCGCAGCCCTGGGGCGGACCGAGCGCGCAATTCACCCTGTTCACACCGCAGCCCTGGGGCGGACCGAGCGCGCAATTCACCCTGTTCACACCGCAGCCCTGGGGCGGACCGAGCGCGCAATTCACCCTGTTCACACCGCAGCCCTGGGGCGGACCGAGCGCGCAATTCACCCTGTTCACACCGCAGCCCTGGGGCGGACCGAGCGCGCAATTCACCCTGTTCACACCGCAGCCCTGGGGCGGACCGAGCGCGCAATTCACCCTGTTCACACCGCAGCCCTGGGGCGGACCGAGCGCGCAATTCACCCTGTTCACACCGCAGCCCTGGGCGGACCGAGCGCGCAATTCACCCTGTTCACACCGCAGCCCTGGGGCGGACCGAGCGCGCAATTCACCCTGTTCACACTGCAGCCCTGGGGCGGACCGAGCGCGCAATTCACCCTGTTCACACTGCAGCCCTGGGGCGGACCGAGCGCGCAATTCACCCTGTTCACACTGCAGCCCTGGGGCGGACCGAGCGCGCAATTCACCCTGTTCACACTGCAGCCCTGGGGCGGACCGAGCGCGCAATTCACCCTGTTCACACTGCAGCCCTGGGGCGGACCATGCAGCCACCTCTGCGAGCAGGCGTGATAAAAGCCTGCCTTCCTGTCCCAGAGCCGGGATGCTGCTCACCCCTCCCTGGGGGCCTGCAGGGGTGTGTCGTGCCCCCGGGAGCTGGCCCTGGCTCTGGGCTTCATGTGCTCTGGATTTCAATGCAGAAACAGCCTCCCGTTTGCCTGGCACTGCCAACATCTGTAGAGCCCAGAAGCCATCACTTGCTGGGCACTGGCCAGGGGTGCGGCTGCTGGTGAAAATACAGGACACCCATTGAACTCGCAGTTCAGAGCAGCAAGGATTACTCTCTTGGTGCAAGTCCGCCCTACATGGTGCTTGGGCCACACTTTAAAGTGCTTTGCTATCTCTCTGAACTTCACATTTACTTGCTGTCTTGTACTTTAGGGGCAACCCCAGCAGAGGTCTCCTCAGTGACCTCCCCTCCCCCCACCCAACCCAAGCCAGGCAAAGGTTTGTCCCGAAGAGGACCCCTCTCCACCCCCCACACAGGAGGCAGCCACAGTGGGGAGCTGCTCCCCCAACACAGAAGGCCCCTGGGGTTTGTTAACCCGCAGACCTGGGCCACCTGCAGCATCTAGATGAGCAGGTGGGGGCTGTGCCAGCCCTGCGGGGATGTGGACACCCAGGTTCCAACCCATGTGTGCCCTGAGGCTGGAAGGTTCTGCAGGAGCTTCTCAGAGTCACCCCTTAAGTTCTGGATTTGTTCTTTCACTCATTCATTTGTTCTGCAGATGCCCATCAAGGGACTGCAATGCCAGGTGCTGGGCTGGACCCTCGATTACTGAGGGCCTGAGCCTCCTCACTGCTGGTGGGGGTCTCCCACTTCTTGGCAGTCACAAAGGGCAGAGATGCAAGACATGATGCACTCAGCTGGGGTTCCACACATGAAAAAGCAGGCACTGCCACCTGTGCCAGAGTGAAGTCTCGGGGGACAGGCTCTTAGCTCAGCTCTGAGGGGAACAGATGGCCTCAGTCACATGGGATCGCCTCTGCGGGGGGAGTCTGGGCCTCTCTCACTTCCCGTTTTGACTGGAACCAAATCTTATGTGTAGCCGGGAGGCCTCCAGTGGCCTCAGTCCTCTGACCTCATTGCCTCCCCAGGACCCTGGCATGTGCACCTTGTTCCCCTAGCCTCTCCGCCTGCCCAGGAGCCCACCCCAGCCCCACTCCGGGAGCTGCTCCACCTCAGGCTTCAACTCCTAGCCCACACGCCAGCTCCACAGAGGGGCCTGCCCGGGCCCACCACTGTCCCAAGACTCCCAGTGCCCGGGTTTCCTTCCCAGCCTATCGGCCCTGCTGTGGCTGCAATCGCTTCTCCCCTGTGCTCTGCACCTCCCTTGACCCTGAAGCCTTTGAGAGCAGGGGCTTTGGTGGACGCCTGCTGCACACCTGTGTCCGCACCCAAGTCCCGTGGCACCATCCTGGTGGCGGGGGCTGAGCAGCCCTCCCCAGCCCTCGGGGCCTGTGCTGTGCCCGCAGAGCCCACAGGGTCTCCAGCAAGCAAACGCTAAAGGCCTCACCTGGCTTGGAGCCCTCGTCCACGGAGCCGTTGTAGACCTGGTTGATGAACTCGGGGCGGTTGTCATTCATGTCGATGACATAGATGTACAGGTCGATGGGGTTCTCCACCTTGTTGCCGTTCATGTCCACAGCGTGGGCTCGGAGCTGGAAAGCAGCACAGACACATCAGGGCCCGCTGGCGGGCGGGCACCCCCACCCAGCTGAGAGCGGCCCGGGACCTGTGGTGCTGGGGTGGGAGGCTGATGGCAGAGGCAGGTTAGCTATAGGGGCCGGGGGGCTTTGGGCACGTGGTGCAATTCTCCGAGCCTCAGCTCTCTCCTCTGCAGAAACGGGGTCGGGAGAGTGCAGAGTGGGGCAACGCGCAGAGCTGGAAGCCAGCATAACCCCCCACACCCCATGGTCAGTCCCACCCAGGACCTCCCACGCCTGTCCGACTGTTCTGTGAGCCACCGACTGTTCTGATCAGATGTCTGGAGCAGGACAGGTGTCCCTTGGATGGGGTCATGTCCACCCAAAGTGGCAACAGAAAAGGCATTTGTGCCTAACTGGGTAGGGGGCTTCACTCCCGCTACTGTGAGGTTAGTCCCCAGGAGAGATGGGGAGGAGACAGGCCAGGGTGTGCAGAGAGGTCAGAGCTGGAGCTAGGAATTGGGTCCATTTGGGTGTCCACTGAGAGTCCAGCCTGGACAAGTTCCAGGCTCCTCTGCGTCTGCATGCCCTGTCAGCTCTTGGACACAGCAGGGGAACATGGGTGGTCGGGGGATCCATGCAGAGGCAGGGCTGGGAGGCCAGTGTGGAGCTCCCGGGAATGTCACAGGAACCGCCTTCAAGGTGAAAAGGGAAGAGCTGAACCTGGGCTGGAAGGTTCTGCAGGAGCTTCTCAGAGTCACCCCTTAAGTTCTGGATTTGTTCTTTCATTCATTTGTTCTGCAGATGCCCATCAAGGACCTGCAATGCCAGGTGCTGGGCTGGACCCTAGATTACTGTGCACTGAAGGAAGTGTGGCTGCCCTGGAGCTTCCGTCCGAGGGACAATGGACACCAGGGAGAGAAGAAGCCATCAGTGGGTGTGGTGACCGCCAGGGAGGCCTCTCAGAGGAGGGGCTGCTTGAGCTGAGACCTCAAGAACAGGCCAAGGCAGAGGACATGGAGAAGCTGGGCACTGCCACAGGCAAGGGGGCTGCTGAGGGGTTGCCGGAGAATGGTAAGGGTATGTCTGAGGCCTCTCCACCCAGAGCTGGACGGTCACCCAGAGGTGTCCCCAGCTCACATCTTTCTACCAAAACTCCATATCATGCTTAAAGTTGGACACAACAGACCTCACTCAAGGTATTTGCAGCAAAACGTCATCAAGCCCAGGGTGGCTGGGAGAGGAGCCCCATGCCGGACAGGTCTCCACATCATCGCCTTGGTGGCCTGCCTCACATGGCCGCTCCCACTCCCACGACCTCGGGGGAACGGGGTGGACCTTACATTCCACACCTGCCCCAGGGAAACCCCAGAGCTAACTGTGTCCATGCCTGCACCAGTGTTTTGGTTGGGTTCCAACAATCCAGAGTGGAATTTTACCCGCTACGTGGCATGTTTAAGGAAGATCTAGAGGCTGGCTTTACCCAAAGAGGCCATCTGCCCTGTAGTAAGGAGACAAACTAGGCCTGACTCCTGGAGGAACTGCAGACTGCCACGCGAGATGTGACTGCACGCACGCTGAGTCAGCTTTACGTATCCTGTTTAAACAGCCTGAAGTGCTGTGTGGTTGTCGTATCCGGCTGCCCCCATCCCGTCACGGGCAGACTCCTCCATCCCCGAGCCATTTGCAGCTCCGTCCTGCTGTAGGACACGCTTCCCATACGCCCAAAGGTCACAAGGCCTCGGGAAAAAAGTAATTCTGAGCTAAAATTAAAGTTATTATCTCCCAACTAAAGCAGTTCCAGGTGCTATCTGGAGCAGCAGGAGCAGCGCGAGTAGAGATGACAAGGAAACACGGCTTCTGCCCGCGGCCTGTGTCCTCCTTGTCCCACAGCTCCTGTTGGAAATCTCCTCTGCCCATCTCTCAGGCTGGGCACACCCAGGGCGGGCCTGAGAGAGGTGATCTCGCTGTGGCAGTGGAGGAAACAGGCAAACATGGGTGGAGGAGTCCTCCGAGCATTCTGCAACCTGCAAATCCAAGTGTCAGGCACAGCGCATTTCCTCCAACATTTTGAATAGGACATTTTTCTATCCTCGTTCTGGGAGACAAGATTAGAAAATATTAATATGTGGGTATGGTCTGGCCTCGGGCTGGGAAGCCGCTTGGGGGAAATGTGGCTGTTGACAGATGAATGTCCAGATGTATGTGGGATCTAATTCTCCCGCCTCTTGGCTGTTCTCTCTTCTTTGTATCTTTTTTTTTTTTGAGACGGAGTCTTGCTCTGTCGCCCAGGCTGGAGTGCAGAGGTGTGATCTCGGCTCACTGCAAGCTCCGCCTCCCGGGCTCTTGCCATTCTCCTGCCTCAGCCTCCTGAGTAGCTGGAACTGCAGGCGCCCGCCACCAGGCCCGGCTATTTTTTTGTATTTTTAGTAGAGATGGGGTTTCACCGTGTTAGCCAGGATGGTCTCGATCTTCTGACCTCGTGATCCGCCCGCCTCAGCCTCCCAAAGTGCTGGGATTACACGCATGAGCCACCGCGCCTGGCCTCTTCTTTGTATCTTAATTGTGGGTGCAGGTTCCCTCCAAGGAGTATGGAATGGGGAACAGTCCATGGGGGCCCTTGGAAGTGGCCGAGGGGTGCAGGTGTTGGAGACTTTCTTCATCGGTGACATCGGCAGCCAACACGCACGGTGTGTTTGCTCAGGGCCAGGCAGTGCTATAAGAACCTGATACACGCTAACTCCAGTTTCCATCAGAATCTGTGAGATTGGCATTGTCTTGGTCCCTATCTTACAGAGGAGGAAACTGAGGCTCAGGAAGCTGAGAAAGCTTTTGGAAGATGACAGCATGTGGCTGGGTGAGCTAGTGTGTCCAACTGATGGAATCCTTCAAGGAATCTTCTGGAACATCGCCCTGCAAAGCCAGCAGTGAGCACTCGTGCGTGTTGTGTGTTTGAATGTTTACAGGCTGGCTTCAGGGTGACATGTGTCAGAGTCTTCAGCATACTCAGGCTGGGGATGCGTCCTCCCCACCCTCAGCCCACAGAGCTGGGTGGAAAATGGAACAGGATCCAAGGGCACTGGGGAGGCAGGAGGAACTCTAAGATGGCCCCAAGGATGTCAGGCGCTGGTCCCAGATGTGAAGATAGATGTGTTCCCTCCCCACTGGGCTACGTTTTTGACCTTAAGACAGGGCTGGGTATGCGCCATCCAACCACATGGGCCTTCGAAAGCTGAGCGTTCCCCAGCTGCAGGCAGGAGAGAGGGGCATGCGGGCATCCTATGCACCTCGCTGGGTGACAGTGGAGGGGACACGTGCCGGGGATGCAGGTGCCCTTCAGGGGGTGGCTGTGGCCCCCCAAACAGCCGGCAAGGACATGGAGACCTCAGTCCTGCAACCACAAGGATCTGGACCTGCTGCAGCCCCAGTGAGCCTGGAAGCAGGTCCTCCCCAGGGCTGGGGGAGTGCCCAGGCTGGCTGGCGCTTTGATTTTGGCCTGGTGAGACCCTGAGCAGAAACACAAGCCAAGCCCATCTTGACTTCTGACCTATAGCACAGTGAACTCATAGGGTGTGGTTTCAGCCACTAAGTTTGTGCCGATGTGTTACACAGCGCAGAGAACTAACACACCCCTGCTGGCTGGCACAGCTGTCCCCAAAGACCCTGGTGAGCATCCTACAAGGTGGAAGTCCAGAGTTGGATTCACAATGGAGTCTAATGAGGACTGTGATGCCTGAAGGGAGGGGCTTCCTTCTCCAGCGAAGGGCAGGAAAGCCGGGCATCCCCAAGGCCTCCATCTCAGTAAGACAGAGAGATTAGCTACACGTGGAACTCGAGGGCTTCATTCCAGAATTTGGCAGATGATGCAGTTTCTTCTCCAGTCTGGGCCTTGCATCTCCTGCTGACTCTGCCGTCCCTACAAGGGTGAGGAGGCTGGAGCCTGGCCAGATCTCAGGGCTCACCATTCCTCACCTTGAAAATGGGAAATGAGGATGATAAAAACTGATGATCTCCACAAGCTTGCTCCTAGAACCTGGTGTGCAGGAGGCACTGAGAGACGCTGGCGATGTGGGATGACTGCATTTCTCATCTTCAAAGCGGGGAGAAAACCATGAAGCCTCAGGGCTGAGGCAGGAAACAGACAGGAACATGGGCCGGTGGCTCACGCCTGCAATCCCAGCACTTTGGGAGGCATAGTTAGAGACCAGCCTGGCTAACAGGGCAAAACCCCGTCTCTACTAAAAATACAGAAAAATTAGCTGGGTGTGGTAGCAGGTGCCTGTAGTTCCAGCTACCTGGGAGGCGGAGGCAGGAGAATCGATTGAACCCGTGAGGCGGAGGTTGCAGTGAGCCGAGATAGTACCACTGCACTCCAGCCTGGCTGACGAAGTGAGACTCTGTCTCAAAAAATAAAAAAATAAAAAAATCCCAGCTACTTGGGAGGCTGAGGTGGGAGGATTGCTTGAGCCTGGCAGGTTGAGGCTGCAGTAAGCTGAGATTGTGCCACTGCATTCCAGCCTGAGTGACAGAGCGAGACCCTGTCTCAAAAAACAAACAAAAGAAGGGAAGGGAACATGTGTGCAAAAGTGTCTGCACAGTGACAAGCCACGAGGGTGGCTGGGGCAGGTGGGTCTGACTTTTCACCAGCAGCTCCCCCCACCCCCGGCCTGGGCTCCCTCATCTTCCTCCACGGCCAGCTCAGGTGGGGAGTGCGGGGGGCCTCAGGGCATCCGTGATGAGGGACAGGAGTCTTCGGGGGCACCTCAGCTTCCCCTGCAGGTGTGGGACCCAGGTTCCTGGTCCCCACCAGCCTGTGACCCCCATCTTTCTGGGGGTTTGCTGCAGGACCATCTACAGAGGCACCACGCCTTTCCTGGGTAGAGCCTGGTGCTGAGCAAGGCTCTGCATATGCATCAGGCAGAAAGAATAAACAGATGAATGGAGATGTGTGCGGTGGTTTGGATGTTCTGTCCCCTCCAGATCTCATGTTGAAATGTGCCCTCCAGTATTGGAGGTGGGCCTGGTGGGAGGTGTTTGGGTCATGGGGGTGGATCCCTTGTCAAAGGCTCGGTGCTGCCCTTGTGGTAATGTATGAGTTCCTGCTCTGAGTGCACTCCAGTGCCAGTTGTTTAAAGAGCTTGGCACCTCCGTCCGTCTCTCTCTCTTACTCCTGCCATGTGGGACGTCTGCTCCCCTTCGCTTTCTCCCACGAGTGGAAGCTTCCTGAGGCCTCCCCAGAAGCAGATGCTGGGGCCACACTTCCTGTACAGCCTGCAGAACCGTGAGTCAAATAAACCTCTTTTCTCTCTATATTACGCAGCCTCAGGTATTTCTTTACAGCAATACGAAAGGGCTAACACAGCATGTTTGCACCACGTGTTTACACAGCGTGTTTGCACCACATGTTTACACAGCGTGTTTGTACCACATGTTTACACAGCATGTTTGCACCACATGTTTACACAGTGTATTTGCATGGCATGGCAGGAGATGGGGGGGGCGCTGGATTCCTCCCCAGTGCCAGCCACTGTCTCTGCACATGGTGGGTTGAAAATTTCTACCTGTGCATGAGAGGAGGGCCTTGGGAATGAATCACAGAGGGGTGGGTGACCCAGATCCCTGGAGTGCCCATTCCAACCTCTGGCCCTGCACACCTGGACCCCTGCTGTGGGCAGAGCTCCCAGGTTGGGTTGCAGGCTGTGCCTCAGGCTTCAAGGTGCATGGAGGGGGCACTGTCCAGCGGTGGCCCTGGAGGTCCCTGTCCCCTAGCCGTGCTGTGTGCAGAGGTAGCTGAGCCCTGAAACCTTTTCTGGGGAGTCGGTGGGAATGCCAAGGCTGCCTCTGGTGAGAATCCACGGAGGAGACACAGCTCATCGGGGATGCTGCAGGGAGGGCCAGCTCTGAGCTCCAGAATTCCAGGAGGAATTATAAGATGAAATGGAAGGAGGAGGCCTCCTGCTGGTGCAGGTCACCCAGGAATCACTGTGCATTCAGCAAGCGCTGGGCCCTGAGTCCTCCTGCAACAGGCACCTGGCAGCCCTACAGCACTCCTGGTGCCCCTCAGATGCCCCAGCCAACAGCCACAGGCTGCATCTGCGATGCCACACCAGCGAGAAGTGGGCTGACCCAGCTCCAAGTCTGCCTTGGTTAAAAAAACAAGACAGAAACACGTGTCAGGAATTCACAGAGCTGAAGGATTGGCTCCCCCTGCCCCACATCTAGATCTGGCAAGGCTAGAGTCAACTCTCTGTCTCTGAATCTGTCTCTCACGGTCAGTCTATTTCTGTCTCTGTATTTCCTGTCTCTCTTCGCTGTCTCCTATGTCTCTCTCTGTGTCTCTGTCTCCCTCTCTGTCTCTGTATCTCTATCTCTGTGTGCATGTGTGTCTGTGTCTCTCCCTAAGTCCTTGGTCTGTAGCTATTTCTTGGCAGTAAGGGCTGTTGAGTTCCAATTCCTGAGCCTGTTGTAGACGCGTGTTGACGGCAGCCCAAAGCCTGTTGTGGGAGCCAGCGGCCATGCTGAGGGCCTGTCTCTTGCTGCACGGTCTGTGGGCATCAGCTAGAGTCTCTGGCTGTTCTGTGGTTCTGCCCCGGCCACTCCTGGAGGGCCCAGCACACGAGGCCCAGGCACTGTCAAACAGGTCTCCCCAGCACCCAGCCAAGGTGTGAGCCTTCCCAGGAGGCAGCCGTGAGGGACTGATAAGGCCCCAGTGCAGACGGGGGTTAGGGCAGCCACCTCCCAAGTGGGCTCCCCAGGATCCATCCAGCTCCGCCCCTGCTTCAGACGGTGCCTCGGGGGCTGTCAGGGAGGCCCCTGTGGCCAAACAGCAAAACCGACCTTCTCCCATCAACATCCTCCCTTCTCTGAATGCTTAGTGAGTCCCCCGAAGGCCAGGCTCTGTTCTTGGCCCTGAGATCTGGCATGGACAAGCTGGAGGATCCCTGCCCCTGTGCAGCCTCCTTCTAGAGTGAGATGGAAAGAACGGACCCCAAAACAAATAGCTGCAGACGTGAGAAGCTGCAGGGTTGGGCCCTGTTTGGTGCCACTGGCTGAAGCCCAGCGAAGGTAGAGCTGAGCAAGGTGACACTGCCAGGCAGGGCTGAGTCTTCCATGGTTGTTCCCGAGTTACTACGGAGGAGCACACGGCCCTGACAGCACGGGCTTGTGCTGAACGCCTCACCCGGGTTAACCCTGGAGTCCTCAGAACAAGCCCATGAGGAGGAACAGGGACTGAGGCCAGGAGAGGCGACATCATTTGCCCAAGAGCTCACACCTGGCCAGGGGCAGGTCTGGGTGTGACCCTCGCGATCTGGCTCCAGCCTGTTTTGCGCTGCTGGTGCAGCCTTCACCTACACACGATGGACAGCCCTGGACCCTGAGGTGGAGGGATGTGCACCTGCCGCTGCTTTCACCGCGGCCCAGGCCCCCTCCTCTTAGCCAGGGTCAGTTCGGCCTGGGAGGAGAAGGCCCGCCCCCCGGAAGCTGAGGCCACAGCCCCACCTCTTTCCGTGCACGGCCCGCAACAGGGAACCAGCGCGGCTCTCCTTTCAGAGGCTCTTGCTGCTGCGAGAGACGTCAGAGGAAATGAAAAGCCTGCAGGACGCATGTCCCAGCCTGGAGAGGGTGGGAGGGACAATGGGCCGTGCTTCAGAGAAAGGGGCCAAGGGCAGCATGAGGGGCCCCGAGGGAGCACTGCAGCTCCCTGACTCCCTGCCCCGCAGAGCCATCCAAAGCAGACCAGCTGGATGGAGGCCTGCTAGACCAGTGGTTCTCCCAGTGTGGGCCCAGGCCTGACTTGCATCCTGGGGAGTGTGTGAAATGCAGTTTCCCAGGTCTGCCCTGGGCCCACCCTGGAGAGACGGGGGACGGTGCCCAGCAACCTAGACTTTCCCCAGCTTCCCAGGATTCTGCTCCAGGTCAAAGTTGGAGCGCTACCTGTAGAATTAGGACAGGCATGGCCCAGCTGGGGGCACCTGCCAAGGCCTGGTGGGGCTGAGATTGCCGCCCCAGGGCCCGGTTCCCACCTGGGCGTGGACACTCACGTGGTAAGAGGCGTGCTCCTCCCGGTCCATGGGCCGCGTGACGTACATCCGGCCGGACATGGAGTCGATGCTGAAGACCTCCATGGGGGGCTGGTCGGCGCCCACCCCCGTGATGCTGTATCGGATGGGGATGTCATTGTCCTTGTCGGACCGGATCTGAAAGGCAGGAGCGCAGCGAGAAGAGGTCAGCCTGGGGTGAGGTGAGGCCCGGGGCCCTACCTCTGACGTTCATCCCCTCCCATGAGTTCCTCGAGCTCGACCATCTTGAGGTACGATGGGGACCACAGCTGATCTTTCGTCCACTTTGGGAACTGGAAGGACGATCGACGGTCAGGGTTTTACTGAGAGCTGCCGACGGCAGGTCCAGGGCCCGTCAGTAACAGGGAAGTGCAGGTCTAATATTCCGAGTTCAGCAAACACACCGAGAACGCGGGACGCCTGGCAGACATCCGCAGCACAGGTGAAAACAATGGAAATGATGGTATAAAATGGCCTCACGTTCTGACGTCAAACCCAGGACGAGACAAAGGCAAGAAAATGAGCAACCTCCACAGTGAGAGAAAAGACTAGGACCCAATGCATGTGTGCCCCAGACTTTCTAATTGTTTAGAAAACAATTTAATGATGGTTATCTGGGTCCCAAGTCCAAAGGAAGCTAGAAAAGGCCGCTAACTGGGGGAGGAAATGGAACGACACAGGCAGACATGAAACTCTGAGTTTTACTTGGGATGGGGAAGGGTTAGGGAAAGGCTTCATTTTGTTTTTGAGCAGAGAGTGAGATTCACACAAGTTTTGGAGAAACAGAAAGGACCCTGGAAGCATTAAAAACAAGATGCACGTCTTTCGCTCCATTGAGGCGAAACCTCCTGTAATGGGGAGGGGGACTTGGTGGTCACCAGCCCACCACAGGTGAGCGGCGCTTCCCAGAGCCTGGGGGTCCCTCAGGGAAGTGCGAGAGGCCACGGGGATTTGAAAGGTGAAATCAAGAAGGTGGAGTGAATGGATTTGCATTCAACTTTGAGCGTGTCTTTAGACCACATGACTTTTTTTCTCAAAGTCCACAGGACCATCACATTTCATAATACAGTGGGCCGCAGTGAAAACCCCCCAAAATACCCCCAAAACAAAATGGAACAGGACTTTTTTTTTTTTTTTAGAGACAGGTCTCACTCTGTCACCCAGGCTGGAGTGCAGTGGGGCAATCATAGCTCACTGCAGCCTTGACCTCCTGTGCCCAAGCCATCCTCCCACCTCAGCCCGGAGCAGCTGGGACTACAGGTGCCGGCAACCACGCCCGGCTAACTTCTGAAATTCTTTTGTACAGACAAGGTCTCACTATGTTTCCCAGGCTGGTCTCGAACTTCTGGCTTTAAGCGATCCTCCCACCTGGGCCTCCCAAAGCACTGGGATTACAGGTGTGAGCTGCTGCATTCGGCCTGACTAGGACCTTCAACTGAAATGATGCAATTAAAAGTTAATAATAAAACTGAAAAAAGACCTTTTAGAAACCTGAATGACACTGCAAAATAACCATTGGGTCAACAGGAACCAAAGTTATTTTTAGAGGCTTTTAAAAATATTTCTTTTGTTTAATAACAATATAACTATGTGACTGTGATACAGTGAAACCCAAAGATTGAGTCCCTGCAAATCCATCACCTTGAATGTTTTCATAATCAAAATGGAATTACAGCCAATGAACCAAACGCTCAACCCCACAAGGAAAGGAACGAGAAAGCAGGAAGCAGCAGACACCAAAGTCATCAATAAATATGACACAGAAAGAATCTGAAAACAGAGAAATCCGGACAACGATAGATTCCAGAGCTGTAGTTAGGTGAAAAGTCCTCAGGAAACTGCTGCGTCTTTGATAAACGTCAGAGAAAAAAGATAAGATTTTTTTTTTTTTTTTTTGAGACAGAGTCTCGCTCTGCCGCCCAGGCTGGAGTGCAGTGGTGTGATCTTGGCTCACTGCAAGCTCCGCCTCCCGGGTTCACGCCATTCTCCTGCCTCAGCCTCCCGAGTAGCTGGGACTACAGGCGCCCGCCACCTCGCCCGGCTAGTTTTTTTGTATTTTTTAGTAGAGACGGGGTTTCACTGTGTCAGCCAGGATGGTCTCGATCTCCTGACCTCGTGATCCGCCCGTCTCGGCCTCCCAAAGTGCTGGGATTACAGGCTTGAGCCACCGCGCCCGGCCAAGATTTTTTTTTTAAAGCATTTTCTTTGCTATATGTTATGCAAGCACAGGTGAAAATTGTTATGAAATTGATTATTTTTTGAGAAAATATACAATTTTAAACTTGACTAGCAGAGAACACACACCTGGAGATACCGTACGACTTCAGAAAATTCCTCTTAAAAGAGCTCAAGACAGGTCAGCTTGCCCTGGAATTTCTGAAAACTTTTCCAGAGCAGAGAACGAGAGAGAAAAAGCAGCCCCCTCGGTTTTACGAAGCTTGCAGACCTTGAAGTGCAGATGCATTCGGAATTCTGATGACACACAGTGTGACCACTGCAACCACCCCACGTGTGGCCTCGGTGTCACACCCAGCAGATGCCAGTGAGCAGATGCAGCAGCGACTTCCAAGCCTGCTTCATTGTGCCTGAGTAGCACTTATCTCAGAGACAGAGGGCTGGCTTCTCACCAGGCATCTCATCTCTGCAGCACGATGACAATCATAGGCGAGCCTTCGGAGAGGCTCAAAGCATGTTTGATAGAGTATCCCTTCCAGCTTAATTCGTATCAAAGAAAGCAAGTCATCCCCTGGAAAAACTCCAATTTGTAGAGAATTCAGCCTGATGGAGAACATCTTTCTTAAACCAGCATTTAGCATTTGCACACCAGAGCTGTTCCTATGTGCAGAAGCGCGGTGCCCGGCACACCGGCCACCCCAAGACTGTCTCGTGTCGTAATAGCAAAGAAGCTGTTTTCCGTATAGGAAGAGGGAGATGCTGTTTCCATCACAAAGGCGCCATGGGGGTCAGTGCCAATGGGGGGCTGCTCACGTGCTGGGAGACACCGCCAGGAAAGGAGGCCTGCAGGCCCGTGGTGCGTGCGTGCATGCGCGCACACTCACACACACTCCTGTGCACATGCGCGCACACTCACACACACTCCTGTGCGCGTGCGCACGCGCACTCACACACACTCCTGTGCGCGTGCGCGCGCACACTCACACACACTCCTGTGCGCGTGCGCGCGCGCACACACACACTCCTGTGCGCGTGCGCGCGCGCACACACACACACTCCGCGCGCACACACACACTCCTGTGCACGTGCGCATACACATACACACACACACACTCCTGTGCACATGCGCGCGCACACACACACACACTCCTGTGCACATGTGCACACACACACACTCCTGTGCACATGTGCGTGCACACATACACACACTCCTGTGCACATGTGCGTGCACACATACACACACTCCTGTGCACATGTGCACACACACACACTCCTGTGCACATGTGCGTGCACACACACACACTCCTGTGCACATGTGCGTGCACACACACACACACTCCTGTGCACATGCGTGCGCACACACACACACTCCTGTGCACATGTGCGTGCACACACACACACACTCCTGTGCACATGCGCACACACACACACACTCCTGTGCACATGTGTGCACACACATACACACACTTCTGTGCACATGTGCGTGCACACATACACACACTCCTGTGCACATGTGCACACATACACACACTCCTGTGCACATGTGCGTGCACACATACACACACTCCTGTGCACATGTGCGTGCACACATACACACACTCCTGTGCACATGTGCACACATACACACACTCCTGTGCACATGCGCACACACACACACTCCTGTGCACATGCGCGCACACACACACACACTCCTGTGCACATGCGCGCACACACACACTCCTGTGCACATGCGCATACACATACACTCCTGTGCACATGCGCACACACTCACACACACTCCTGTGCACATGTGCGTGCACACATACACACACTCCTGTGCACATGTGCACACACACACACACTCCTGTGCACATGTGCGTGCACACATACACACACTCCTGTGCACATGTGCACACATACACACACTCCTGTGCACATGTGCGTGCACACATACACACACTCCTGTGCACATGTGCGTGCGCACATACACTCCTGTGCACATGTGCGTGCACACATACACACACTCCTGTGCACATGTGCGTGCGCACATACACTCCTGTGCACATGTGCACACACACACACACTCCTGTGCACATGTGCGTGCACACATACACACAGTCCTGTGCACATGTGCACACACACACACACTCCTGTGCACATGTGCGCACACACATACACACACTCCTGTGCACATGTGCGTGCACACATACACACACTCCTGTGCACATGTGCACACACACACACACTCCTGTGCACATGTGCGCACACACACACACTCCTGTGCACATGTGCGTGCACACATACACACAGTCCTGTGCACATGTGCACACACACACACACTCCTGTGCACATGTGCGCACACACATACACTCCTGTGCACATGTGCGTGCACACATACACACACTCCTGTGCACATGTGCACACACACACACACACTCCTGTGCACATGTGCGTGCACACATACACACTCCTGTGCACATGCGCACACACACACACTCCTGTGCACATGTGCGTGCACACATACACACACTCCTGTGCACATGTGCGTGCACACATACACACACTCCTGTGCACATGTGCACACATACACACACTCCTGTGCACATGCGCACACACACACACTCCTGTGCACATGTGCGTGCACACATACACACACTCCTGTGCACATGTGCGTGCACACATACACACACTCCTGTGCACATGTGCACACATACACACACTCCTGTGCACATGCGCACACACACACACTCCTGTGCACATGCGCACACATACACACACTCCTGTGCACATGCGCACACATACACACACTCCTGTGCACATGCGCACACACCCACAGGCCGTGAGGAGCATCTTTGTTCCGCCCCCGCAAGGCACCTCCTTACTTTCCCATGATCAGGTAGGGCCCTTTCCGGGCTCTGCCCTGAGCCGCACACACCAAGCAGGGCTTCTGAGACAGCGACCGAGGGAAGGGCGGGTCTGGGCCC